GTTAAATCATCGCTCTGATAAATTTTCGTACGTTTCGCAAACATAGATCCTAAAAGTTATTGTAAAAATACACATATTTTTCCTAATTGGTCATTTCAAATAAATAGTATTTTCCGGTCAATTTTAGACGTTCTGATCAAAATGAATTATCATGTAGCGTTGTGCATGTAATATTAGAGGAGGTTTATGTCATCACGTTGCAAATTTCCTCATTGTTTATGAAATACAGAGCTTCGACATAAACAACTTTCAACACCAAACTATATACGTTTCTGCCAGATTACATTTCATTGTAATACAAGCATTAAATAAATGTTTCCATTTAAAATTGAACATTGTGTGACATGGTTCATTCTAAATTATGGAGAGGTGAGGGAGAAGGGGGGAATTTTATCAAATTCAAATTCGTTTACAAAATATAGCTCCACAAACATTTAAATATCACAAGCTCCTTCTTAAATACCATAAATTAAATACCAATATTTAACTAACATTACTAACATTATTAACATTACTAACATTTCTAGCAATACTAACAATACTAACATCGAACATTCAAATAAATTTTCAAACCTTACGTGAACCTCCAAAAAGAATTATACCTACTCAAACTCTGAAAATCAAGGCTCTCGGTGGTAGCAGCGTGCTGAACGCAATGCTTTACGTCCGTGGCAACAAGAAAGACTACGACAACTGGGAAAAGCTGGGAAACCCAGGCTGGGACTACGACAGTGTGCTGCCTTACTTCAAGAAGTCTGAAGACATGAGGATCGAGGAATACAAACATTCTCCTTATCACCAGACCGGTGGTCACTTAACCGTCGAGTACTTCAGGTACCGGACTCCCATGATCGATTATCTGGTAAAGGCTGGCACAGAAGTGGGATACGACGTCGTGGATGTCAATGGACCTACTCAAACCGGGTTCACCTATTCCCACGGTACTTTGAGAAACGGGTTACGATGCAGCACTGCGAAAGCTTTCCTCCGGTCTGCTTCCAAGAGGAAAAATCTGGATGTGAGCACACACTCGACTGTGGAGAAGATTCTGATAAGCGAAGGCATGTTACACCGAATATTTTAGTTACGTTTTTAAAGGATCATATTGTCATTTAGACTTGTTGGGAACTGTCCATATTTTCTTGGGCAAGAGACTGGCTTTAGAATTTCTGGATGCTTTCGTTTATAGTCTTTTTTTGCGTGTGGCTAATGTGTGATTTTGACTGAATAATTTTACTGTCTTACCATTTGTTTTTGCTGATACTTAGTTGCATATTGTTTCAAAGGGCTACAAAGTTTGTCTCGCAATTTTAGCCAAAAATGTACTAAACATATACAGTAATTTCTCCCTAATTCGCGCACAGATTGCGCACGAAAATGGAAAATTTGAGAAGAGGAGATACAATTACACGAGCCTTGCGTCCCGTTTTTATAGTTGTTGACAATCGGTAACTATAAAAACGAGTCGCGAGGCTCGAGTAATCGTATCTCCTCTTTCTAAATTGTCCATTTTTGTGCAAAATCTGAGCGCGAATTAGGGAAAAATAATTGTACTACAGATATACATTATACAAGTCTAACCTCCTGGTCATATATTTGCAAGTGTTAATTGAAATTTGTTTACAAGCAGAGATGTTCTATAGTATTTCAAAGATTTTTGAAGATCTGAAAGCAACTTTGTACATTTTCAAATACATTCAAATGCCCTCAGTTGCTTTTATTTACACTTTCAATTGAAACTTAAGATCATTATGTTTCTTCTTTCCAAACTGTTTCATATTACGATTTATTGAAACGTACATAGTTTATTTACAATCTTAGCCAAGATATTCTCTAACATTCTCTAATATTCTTTCTTTAGATATTCTCAAACTCTGTCAAATGCCTACAAACACATTTGAACACCATGCGGTTCCATTTTAAATGATACTTATAATTAAATATGAAGGTACACATCTTCCAAGTTCGTCAACTAGAAAATTTTGTACGATTTTTACTGATTTTCAAACATCTACAAACATATTCAAACGCTTTCAAATGCTACGTGGCTTTCTTTCTGGTATTATTTCCAATTTCAACACGTCCTCTGTTTTCAACTAGTGTGTGCAACACTTCAGAGATTTTCAAACATCTTTAGACAACTTCCAAGAACAATCAGCATCTTCAAACACGTTCGAACTTTTTCAAATATAACATGGTTACCTTTGTAACACTAATTTCAATTTAAGATCTAGAGTCAGTATGTCACTTGTTCGCAAACATATATTTCGTTCGATGTTTGAATGTGTTCCATTGTTGCAGACAGCGATTCAAAGACAGCATATGGCGTCGAATTCCGAGTAGGCCTGATCAGCCATACGGTCAGAGCAAAACGCGAGGTCATTTTATCCGCTGGCGCTATACAATCGCCGCAATTGCTCATGCTCTCCGGTGTCGGTCCGAAAGATCATCTGGACGATATAGGGGTGAAGACTGTGCACGATGCACCGGGCGTGGGTGAAAATCTGCAGGACCACGTGTCGATCGGCGGAATGCTTTACTTGGTGGAACCGCCAGCAAATTACACGAAGGAGAAGCCTTTCATTTTCAATTTGCCAAAATCCATCACTGCAGAAGTCGTCAAGGAATTCGCCGTGAATCACACGGGAATTATGTATTCGTTGCCTATCTGCGAGGGTATGGCATTTATCAATACTAAGTAAGTATCCTATTATAGTGACAAATAGGTCTGCTGAAGAATTTTTATGTTGATAATTAATTAATACGATTATATTATATTATGATGATTAATTGTTATGTATAAATTAACAGCTCATGGTCGATTCATTGGATTAACATTGCTTACATTTCTTCATCAAGATATACGCATTTCTAAATTTATTATTTATTAATATATATATCCAAATCTTAATCAC